TCTTATGCAAATGGATTGCTGGGTTTCTCATCTTAAGTTTTCTTTATTGTTTTATTGTATCGCCTGCAAGATATACTTTTTCTTGTGGTCAGACACTAAATAAAATATTTTTTATTATCATTTGTCAGTATATCATATACAAATCAATGTGTCATTACGGCAAACTTCAAAACAACTATTAAAATAGAGAAATAATATGTATTTTCACAGGTATCATCTTTTATGTGGGTTGCCTTTATATGCAAGGAAGTTTTTTAGCCTCTTCTTATTCTTTTAATTCGACCAGTTTTCCTCGCTTAAGAATCCAAAGTCCCTCCACATTGAAAATCACAAAGGTATTTCAGAAAGGTCTTATAAAGGATAAAAGGCACCAGCATGTATTCATGTAGATATCAGGGAAGAAAATTCATGTCATATAACAGATACTTGAAAACTAGTATTTATAGAGAGTTTCAAAAAATGAAATTTAAAATTCTGGAACCGTACTTGTGTGTGTGCACCAACAGTACACCTAAAGTTTTATTAGAGAAATACCGACATCTTACGAACGAACGTAACCAAAAAAGGGGATCGTTCATTGTACTCACATTTGCATTATTAAACTCTTCAATGTTATTGCGATTTCAAAAGATAAAATTCCCGCAGGTTACCTCAAAACTACTTCTTGTCGTAGTCGCTATCGTGACGCTACAATAAATTTCAATGGACATTTAAACGAGCAAAGGGGTTCCGATAAGGGAAATACACATGTAAAAGGAAAACGAAAAATGTCTCATTTTGAAGCATGAAGTCAAAGATTCTGTCTTACGAAAAAGAGGGCGAGGGAGAGTTAAAAAAAAATAAACATAAAACACTGTCCTTTTTGTTCATGATACTGGCTAAACTTTGTACATGTAAATCATATACGGTGCCAATTTTAATGCACCAGAGGCGCATTTAAAGTTACATAGTGTCAATATCATGTGTTTCTTTTAAGTTTTCTTTTTCGTGTTGGGGCAAACTAAAATTATTTTTACTTGTATTTTTCTCCACAAAAGTAGATTTTTTTAGGTTCTGAAACCTGTAATTTTCTGAGACGTAATACTTTCAAGAATTGAATTAAATTTGCATGTGTCGTGCAAAAATCTTACTTCTGTAAATTTCCCCGTTTGTCCGTCACAGTGTCTCTTTAAACAAATTATGTCTCTGAAGTAGATTCCTTATTTAACGCGAGTGCTCAATATCGCGAAATGGCCGAAGGGCATCAAATCGCGAGAACAATAATTCGCGAATGGGTGATGTATCTAGAGATTTTACATACAGTAAAGCACCATAAAAATAAAAGCGATTAATTTTATTTCGCGAGTGGTGCTTCTCGCGTAATTACGCGATAATTTATTCCTCGCGTATATTTAGGAATCTACAGTAATGCTCATGCCGAATCGTTGGAAATCCGAAATATTTAATGAAAAAAAAAATCAAGAGCTGAAAAGGGGGGATGGGGGGGGGGCAAAGACTGGAGCAAAATTACCTCTAAGGATCGTATGTATCTAAGAAGAAGCCTTATCAACCGAAAAATTACGAACGGGCTTTTTTCCCACGGATTCATGGTATCGCTATAATACATGTACATGTATATTGAAGCCGGGTTTAATTTTATTTTGATAGTTTTCTTAGCCATTACAAGGAATTATCACCTCTGACAATATCTGCGTAGAAAATTAATCAATAGCTATTCCTGACGTGATATATATGAGAATGATTTTGCAACTGAAACTCATGCACATTTCATTCAAAATATTCAGTTTTTTACAAATTAAAATGCAATGCAAATCAGCTGAACAGAAATTAGCCTTAGTAACCCCTGTCCACATGAATGCTGCTTCGGTAATTTCCAGACACGTGGTATAAGCCAAATTAGGTTAGACCATCTTTAAAAAATCTTTAAAAAATTCTTTCTTTGCCCTCACCGACTGGGTAAAAATGACCCGACTCAAAACTTGTTTAACCTTAGGAAACGATAATTTTTTCTCCCGAATTTTCTTTCTCCATCAATAAGAATGTTGAAATTTTCTGGAAAAAAAATTATTACCTATCTACCGACCCAATATTTATATGATAATGTATGAAGAAAATTTTGTTCCAAAAAAGTTGGACCCCCCCCCCCCAATGAAAGAAGGATTTTCAACTTTAAACCCCCACCCCCTTTTTTTGTTTTTGTTTTTGCTTGTCAGAATTTTTCTTGTTGGCTCCCCCAACCCCTCCCACTTTTAAAAACGAAAATTATATGTTTCTAATTCGACTAATGAATAATAAATAAATCTGCAGCAATATTACTTTTACCAGAAAGAATTCATGACTGTTTTAAAAAATGAAAAAAAAAATCAGTAGAAACTACTTCTACACATCATGCAGTGAAAACTCGTCAGTTTTTTTTATTTGCCTGTGTGTGCAGGTACATTTGAAGCATGCCTTGACAACTCAGTGAATCAGCACCATACACTTGATGTTCTCAATTATTCATATTTTGAGAACTACAGTATCTTTTTATCAGTATACTTGAATCAATCTATGACGCAAGTTATAATTTCGACTATAGCTTTTTTTTCTCTGTACATTAGAGCTTCGGTCGAAATTACTCTGAGTGCGGGGTCAAAGTTACCCTTCACGTATACAGTGTATCTTGTAATTTTATATTCTGACGAATAATGCATGCTTAACAAACAATGACATAATGGTACATAGCTTGAGTACAAAGAAAATTTAATGAATATACAGCACCCACAGACATGTAGCATCAGAGGGGTCTGCCCCACCTTGTGCACACGTTACTTTTCACTGTTCGAAATGTTCATTGAAAGGCTTGTTGCCCCCCCCCCCCCCTTTGTTGCAGTACAGTCAAATAAGGCTAATGTAGTAAAGTATGAAAAAAATTGGTAGCGAAAGAAGAATTTTTTTTCGCTTGTCAGGTTTTTTCAGGTAAGTTGAATTTTTTTCTCTGGCTGTCCCCCCTCCCCATTTAAAAAAACGATGCTACGTCTCTGACCCTACCCAAATGCATAATTTGCAGCTTTTATCATCCACATGTCTATACAGATATAACATATATCATGAAAGGCAGCCGAAAGATAAATTAAGTGAAGATTGCAACATAAAACATCATCCAAGAAGACACTGTCTATCATATGAATGCTCTTTTATTTCTTTGAAGTGATATTTCACATTTAAAGAAAAACCTACTCTTCTTTCTTTATGAAGTTACTTTTTCTTTTACTAGATACGGTATGGAAAAAAAATTATTGCATATACATACATTGCCCCATTCCACTTTTATAAGGATTGTAGTATATGGATCGTAGTATTCCATGTATTTACTTAAATGTATTGAAAATGGACATTTGATTCGATTAGTTGAGCTTCGACCCCCTCTCCCTCCCCAAGTACACAAACATCTACGCGCGAGCACTTTAAAAATATAACGTTTTCCGGAGAAGTGCCAACTATTTTCTGATTTTTAATGGTTGATTTCTGAAACGTTAGAAAACAATGTTACACTGTATAATTCATTACAACAATTATTGTCCATTGTGCTCTCTCTCTCTCTCTCTCTCTTACAAACACATAAATGTACACTTTTAAATACAAGACACTATATAAGCGCATCACCTAGTAACTTGTTGCCTTTGCATGGATTTATACAGGGTATGAGTTTAGATTTCATCCATGCTATAAAACGTTACTTTCCCCAAATGAACACAGCGCACACTAATATATATATGTATACGTATAACCACTGATGCATGACAAATGTGTTTCCTAACCCGTCATAGGTATTTTGGCGTATTTTCTTCTGTTTGTCCGCTTTTAATTACATTGTAAGTGATTACTGAAAATTAGACAGAAGAAATTATCATTTACAAAGTGATTGAAATACTGTCCGTTCTATTATACACATATACTTAATTTTTCCGATTTATTAATTTTAAACTAGGTGCAATAACTGGTCCCGGGAAAACTACCGAGATACGGGAAGTTAGGGCGAGTTACGTTCGTTCGTAAGATGTCGGTATTTCTCTATTGTCACACTGCGTAATCAGTACGATACTGGCCTTTGTAGGAAAGTGTATTTATTTCATTTTCATATACTTACTCGCCGTGTTCTCTTTCCTTTGACAATAGCTTGTTTCCTGGGCGCAGCTGTCTAATTTTAAACTATCTGTTAATTACAATAGTTAATCTATTCTAAGCAAATCGTAATAAGTCAAGATTTTCTGCCGCTTTACCGGCATTGAAGCACACATATTAATTGACCTTCAATCATTATACACTTTTATAGATAAATTAGGAATGTTCATTCTTTACAGGTGATTTATAAACTTTGTTTTATCCCATTTGTAAAATTTCTAGACTATATATACTAATCAACTGAGATGATTATGGTTTATATCTTCATAAGAAAACCACTTAAACTAAATGAAGCAAGCACATGGCAGATTTTTTTTTTCTTCATAATTTGTGAAAAATTTCATTTTTCTACGTTTTTGGCAGGGAAGTTTTTAATACTTTGATTTTAAATACTTTGATTTGACCGATTAAACCGAGGTCCTGTGTCGGGAAGTTTTTAATACTTTGATTTTGACCTTACTCGAATCAACTGGGAGACATAAACACTACATGCAAGTAAAATTGGACTATTACTGCATATATAAAAGAAGTTGATGGAAAAGTTTGTTATTACTTTTGTCATATACGAGGGTTGATCCAAAAGTTCGTGTATTTCTTTCTAAAATTTTAACCTGATGAGGTTAAAGCAAACAATAGATATATTTATACAATAGAGCTATTATACAACAATACTGAAAAAATTCACCAAGTTCCAATCACCATTAAGGTCACAGGAGCCTTCTTAACATGGACAGTTGTAAAATCCGAGGGAGACTTCGACGAAACGTCATTAGGTATGTCACGTCACGTTGTAGGAGCATCTCACCCTTACGTTCAAATCGACTTAGAAATCTTACAGAATGCTGCATTCTTTTCTCCATTTCTGCTCTTGAGAAAAGCCTGGGTACCCATCTCGCTACCACTTTCTTTTTATTACGATCATTTTCCAAAATACGCTCCATCGTTCCATACGATGTTCCTATTTCAGTAGCAATGTCAACCACAGTACGTCGGCGGTCCACGTCCACTAACGCTCTCAATTTGTCTACGAGGAAAAAAACGACCTTCCAAAAGGCGGCCACACCTTTCATCCTCCTCCACGGAAGTTCTATTTTCCTTAAATTTCTCACGCCACTGGAAAGCCAGCGGCTTACTGCACTTTCGTCCTACCTGTATCAGTAGTATATGCGTTTAAGTCGGAGTGTTCCTGAGATTTTCACACAACTTATTACTTGACCAAATTTCGACGTTGTCTAGCATGTTTTTTTCCTCACACTGAGTATTAAGTATTGAAATGATAATGAACGAATAGATGTCTCCCCCGCATTTTCAAACATCCGTTTCTATGGCAACTGCCAAGGTGTTACCATCATGAATATTTAAAATATTTTTTTATTGAAATAAAATTCAACAAGTGTATATATCTCCATCTGCAATTTTCAATCACTTCCACCAATAAATAAATAAAATATTAAGAAATTCCACGAACTTTTGGATCAACCCTCCTAGTATGAAATATGAAGAAAACGAACAGAAATCATGCTCACAAGTCAAATGAAACATACGAATTGAGAACACGGATCTCTGAAAATATTAGAGCCGCGGTAAGGTTCAATGAAGGAGTAAGCATCTGCTATAGACAGGTCACATTCGCCTTGTGTCTTTTGTTATGATAAGGTAAACAGAGAAATCCGTGGTCAATTCAGTATATAATATGAAAATAATGGCCTAAATATTCAACCAAAGAATAGATTCTATTTGCAAACAAGGTCATTGTATCGATCAAAGAATTTGGGAAATAATTGACTTTAATAGAATCGTTGATACCCTTGAATCATTAAGTTGTTTTTCAGTATAAGTTTTAGAAATTCTGAGTACGATCATTTATTTAAACCGAAGCAGGCTACTGACAAAGAAGTCAGTATTTTGCAAACTTTTTGGTGGATATAACTTAGGTCGTATTTTGACTTACATGTTTCATACCAATTGACAGAGCATTGTTTCAGGTCAATTTTGACCACGAATTACTCTGTTTACCTAATCAATATTGAGGGCTCATGGTTGGTGTGACCGGCCAATAGGGAATGCTTACTCCTCATAGGCACATGATCCTACCTCTGATGATTCCAGGGGACTGTGTCTTTGCCCTGCTCATATTCTTTAGTGGGTTTATGAGATTGATCACTGTTCGTTTTCTTCACATTTTACATTTGATATCAATCTCAGGATGCTTGAGTGTAGAATCAGAATGGTATTTAACAAAGTAAGTTTGAGATGACAATGATATAGGAAAGGGAATGCCTTGATATATTTTATACTCTGATTATTAACAACTGTTTTCTTTTCTGTTCCTTTTTTCTTGCTTAGTGAAAATATGACTGGAATCTTTAAAGTTTGAAAATGTATATTTAACTTTTCTATATTATCCACTGAGTGACATCAAAACATCTAGCTCTTAGCTTTTCAAAGATCACAACTTGTCTCAATTCATTAAACGATTATCGACTAGAGTAAAACAATAAAGGATTTTTGTAATTTAAAGTTAAAAAGAAATTAAATGTGCATATAAATAATAAATTGATATTATTAAGCATTTTATTTGCTTGATATTTCTGCTCTTTATGCAAGGCAAGTATGAATATGTGTCCACCGTGTTATTTACGCTATGAACTTACAAGAAATAGGATTACGCTTAAATGTATTTATCCAATACAAGTATTGTTTGAGGTCAACACTTTCTTTACTAGAGGGAGAAAAATAGAGATCGATTTGCATAGCACCTTGCATTTTTGCTTTTCAATTAGGATTAATAAATGTCATGAATTGAATTATTATCTGCAGAAGAAAGCATGACAGCAGTATCCGTTGTTGAACTAAAACTCTATTTACTTCTTTATGTTTTGGGTAAGTTTTCAATGAAAATATTTTTTTAGAAACAAAGGAAGAAAACTAAGTGTTAGTTGTAAAAGCCACCTTTATGATTTTTAAAGTGAATGTTTTTAATGATTTGATGTGAAATATATAAAAATAATTCTATGAATAACTTCTTTTCCTAGCTTGCACCGCGTATGGTTTAAGATGGCGCAATGATGAAGACAATGGTTATCCAAATGATCCACATATCGACAGTGAATCAGAAACAACAGAGGAAAGTCGAAACGGAGGACAACAGCAACAAATTGAAAACTATGCAACAAAACCAACTGAATTATACTCGACGGTAACAAAAGTAACAAGACCTATTGACCCTAATGTTACCCCAGAACCAATACCTATGAACGATTCAACTCCTGGGGAACCCATGCCTCAGGTTAATGATATTATGGATAAATTAAATGCTCGAAAAATAATGAATATTAAAGATGGTGTTGAAATGACAAATGGCAAAAGGCTGCCACAACAATATAATCTGGGTAAACATTCTGGATATCGTTGGGTTCTGTACCGTGAACCATTAGCTAAGCGTTTGCAGAGACTGAAACAAATGAGTGCGAAGGGAATCTCTAATCCTTATCCCTTTGTGAAATTTACTCCCACAATATCTCAAACGTCTTTGAGTAAATTGATAAAGAACTTGCCTTCTAAAGGAAGGGTGTATGGTACATTCCCTAACCCGTCTCAGCAGGTCCGTCCTCAGAGTCTGCTTCTCTCCGGTTCCTTAAAAGGGTATCCAATATTTATATCGATAAGCCCGACATTTAAGGCACGCGATATAAAATCCGCAGCAGTAGTTGGATATGGATTAAGATCCCTATTTCAACATAGAGTCTTTCCACAGCTAGGGTCACATTATAACAACTCAACGAGTGCTTCTACCTCGCATCATATAGTAAAACGTTCGTATAGAAACACATATCGTGGTCGGCGAGGTCGATATTACATTCGACGGAAGAATCGTTCAGTTTATCGCCGAGTACGGAGACGCCACTATCGCAGACCGTTTCGACGATATCGAAGACCTAAGTATCGCAAGAGACCAATTTATCGTAAGAAAGGTAAACGTTATCGATTAAAAATTTATGTAAACAGGCGACATTTTGAAAGGGGGTACTCTAAGAAACAAAAGTACAAGAAATCAAAAAAATCCTATCGGGTTCGAAGTTCTGGGACGAACATTCTTTATCACACAGGCAACTATAAAGGTGGTTATAGTCAGGCGTATTGGGCATATTTACAAAAATACTATCCAAAAATTTATTTGCATTACCTCGACGGGTCTTATTCCAAAAAGAACTACCAAAATTATTACAAAACTTATCTAACGTCTTACTTGCCATCACACGTGAAAGGATACAACAAGAAAGGATATCACCTTGGATCTTACAAGGCGGGAATAGATATCAGCGGATTAAAAACGCCTCCACCGCCCCCAAAACAACCAAAAACCTTTAGACTGAACACAGAAGAGCCACACCTTGAAAATAATAGCTGCCCATATGCTTGGTTAAAGTATGCCGGAAGTTGTTATTATTTCAGCCGAGACGAACTTAGCTGGTATAAAGCTACGGTGAGTATTACATGCACATGTATGCTATTTTGGGTGTGTTTTATGCATTTGACGTATATGTGAGAATGGTTAATTTTAATACTACACAACACTAATACAGTGATTTGAAGTAATCTCCCCACCAAGGCATAAGTATATCAATCTCTCCGTTTTGAATTCCTGTTTAAAACGTACATTTTCTATAACTATCCCCGCATAATTTGCATTCTATGAGTTCGAATTAGTGATAACAAGTGCTACATTTTAGGAATGAAAAAATTACCAGAAGGATGGTCCGAAGGTCAGTAGGAAAAGCATTGTTTCTTGAAATTGTATCTGTGTTTTAGATGACATGTGTGTCGATGGGCGGCTACTTGGCAGTCGTAAACAGTGCACATGAAAACACCTACCTCAGAAACTTTCTCATAGCCAATGAAAGTAAGTTATGTCATGTATATAATTTCAGTATTATACAGTAACAAAACATGAGTACAACGAGCATCACATCTCGTGAAAAGATAAGGTTTAGTTAATATGTTACATACATTTTCTACGATATCTTAAAAGTACCTTAAAGAAGGTAATACCAAATTATTTAAAGACGGTTGAAATTTCCTCACAATTTGTCACCGATTTCTTTTTAAATTTTATTTTATTATTCTTTAGTTCTAAGTGGAAAAAACATTAGTTCGTTCTGAGCATGAATGCTATAAGACATATTTAATTAACTGTATTGATTTTTATCTACTTTTCAGCAAAGTAAATTTCTGAATTCTTTTACTTTGATCAGACAAGGGGTAGAGGATAGTTTTTCCAAAACTGACCATATATCACCTCTTAATAATAAACAAAACATTTACGACTTTTATTTTCAGTCGATCAGGGAGCTTGGATAGGACTTAACCAAATATCTGATACTGAAAAGCATAGCTGGAGATGGGGATTCAGCACCAAGCTCTGTCATAAGTTTGACTGGTTTGGAGATGAGCCGGAATTTCACAAGCACAAAGACTATAACTGCGGGATAATGTGGCACACTTATAGATATCACTGGCACTTAGAGAGCTGTATCAAGGAACATTACTACATATGTGAATTGAAGGCGGTATGTAAATACTTCAGTACTAAAGATGGTGAATTTTATATCAGAATTTGATGGTTTTCCAAATAATGTTTAGTTATTTTTTTTTTCTTATTACAGGGAAAGCCATGTAAATGCCGATATTAGAAACATTTTTGAGGTATTAAATATTGATTAAGCAACATCGTTCATTGTCATTAAGATACATATATACATACATATATAATATGAAAATTTAATGAACACAATCTTTAAAGCATTAGAAACTTTTTCATATAAATTAATTTAATTACATACTTCTATATACATCTACTTATTGAAAATAATATGATATAGCATACATAGCCTTCTGAGTGAACTTGCTCTTATGGGTCAAAATATGAAATATGCACTTATAAAACATATATCTCGATTAAATACACCTTTTGTACACGTTTAATAAAATTTCATAAACGCTTAAAAACAATGTTTCAGAATGCTTTCATATAGAATTAAATATAACATACTGATGAGCATATAATGAACATAAAAACGAGTTCTTACATAAATATGATTCCTGATAATCATAATCATGTCGTTACAATCTTGTCCTTTTACTTTTAAGACTATAAGGGGAAATTTATTAATTTACCAGTACATGGGTTGTTTTGTTTGAATATGTTTTCTACACAATGGACACTTCTTTAACCGCCGTGAACAGCTGATACACGATACCAAATGACTGCAGGGCAGAAAGAGTACCCCAACTTCCTCCGATAAACAAACCTTACACGTAACGCGCAGGCGCAGTTCATCGTCAGATTGTTCTTTAAAGTTTGAAGTGGAAGCTGTCCTCTCTATTATTTCACTAGGCGCTATTGTCTTTCCGGCATTTTCACCGGAAGTTGTTTCTATGGACGGACTTTCCAATGCTTCTTCTGATTCCTGAAAGTTTGAGGGATCATATTCAGCAGCCCCAGAATTGGATGGTAGAGATTGCAAGAATGCTCGGTTGTCTAGAATTTCATTCACAACTCTCTCTTTCGTGTATTCCACTAAAAGTATAATTATTAAAATTATTAAACTAACTTATTAGTTACTGATATTACATTTTTTATGTAAAAATAAGAAATGTCATTATAATAATCTCTTAGTTGTTTTATGTTTTAGTTTTTTTTTAAAGCCCACCTAGATGTTAAAGTGCATTAATATATCCATTGTACTAAAAATATCAATGTATCAATTGTACTCAATGTTTCAATACATTAATTGTACTCAATATATCAATGCATCATTTGTACTCACGTCCCCGATGCCTTAAACTTTCAATGGCCGCTTTAATCAGCTCCTGATCAAATCCCATCTCATTTAGTTCAGCAATAATTGCCTCAGTATCTAGAGAACGTGTACACTCTCTAGTCTGGTTCTGAGGCACTACAACACCATTCTCAGCTTGAAAAATATATAAATTACTTAAAGAGGATTCTTGTTGATTGTCCTGTCAATCACTAAATTTAAGGTAAATAAAGATATTTTCTGTTTTGGGAAGGTTTACAAAATCAATTGCAAACAGTTTGGTTTTGTAACGAGAAAAAAAAATAGCAAAGACACAGTGATTTGAGTGTTTTGGCTATTGACAATTTACTTATACGTACCTGTTGAGGTATTTCTATCAGTAATTATTCCTTGAAGTGATGCTTGAGCTATAGGACAATTTTCACTTGATTGGTAGTGCCTTTGTATGATATCATCTACAGATGTCCAATGCTGAAGACCTATCCCGCAGTAAAAACAAGAAGTTCTGTCGCGGAATCCGCGGTAAAATAGACCAGCTCTAGCAAATTCTTCTGCAGTTTTATTCGCAATAACATAATTTTCTGATCCCGGTCCTATTTTTAATGCATAATGAGACTTATTTACCATTGAAAAGCTCTCTATTCTCGTTTCCAATTCTGATTGGTTAGGATATAATGCATCTGATATGTTCCAATCCAAATTTGATGCATTGTTTGTAGAATGTATTTCAGAATTTTCGTTATTTTGGGCAAACAATTCGTTGTCACACTCGCTCATTTCTTCATTGCAAACCTTTGTATCAGGTTGACCAGTTTCATCGATCATTGATTCCATATGGTCAGTTCTTTCGTATAAAATTTCTTCGGATGTATTACTGATCTGTTCTAGTTTACTTCCAGGAAGGCAACCATTGCTTCTTGCATTGTCCACAGATGCTTCATAGTTGTCATTTAAAGTCCTGTTATGAAATGGTACCTGTCCGATATCTCCCCCAGATATAAAAAAGCAAGTAGGTGATAACATTTTGTGAATATAATGTGGATCATCTTTTCTGTTCCATTTACTATATACTTTGAGGCAACAAAACGTTTTTGTTTCTCTTTCGCTTCCTGTTGCAAACCATCCTGCTTTGGCCAAAAATATGGCACTGGGTACATCGGGGAATGTATAGTTGCTAAATGAACTTAATCTATGAAATTCAAACTTCATTATTTCAAAATCATCAGGCGGTGTTCCTTGGGAGAGTTTATCAAAACTTTGATTAATGGTGCCTGGAAATATCAGAAATTGTCGAAGGAAATCTATCATTTCACACGAAAATAAATCCTTATACCATTTATTTTCCTTACAACGAAATATATCGTTCATTGTGTCCGCAAAGAATATTATAATTAACATTTTCAGTCTTAATTTTCTCTCATTGTTTTCACTTACTTTAATTTCTTTTAAAGGTTGCTTCAAGTTTATCAAAGTTTCACTTATAAGGAAATTCATCATTCTGTTGTTTTTAAATCTTTTGGTTAAAGGATCTTCGTAAGTTTCTCCAGGAGTCTTACTATCCTTCACTGGAATTTTTTCATGATTATCAGCACGTGTCGTGGGATGCTTTTGTGAAATGGAACTTTTACGTACAAATTCCCATACCAATGGTGAAACTCTTATTCCATTTTGCAATATAGATGTAATGAGTATTTGATATAAAAAGTCTTTGTTCAAATAGACACCAGCAAGTACCTGACAAACAAGAAGACGTCTTATCAAATCAATGTCGACTTCCAGAGATGAGGGGAAAAACTTCGAATGTGGCCAGTTTACATTTTTGTTGCAACAGTCTTTCAGTGTATCAAAAGGTATCAACAGCCTCATGCTGCCCTCACTTGAGTTTGATCTGCTTTTCATTATTTAGAATGTTTTTACACTAGCTAAACGATCTTCTTTGGATTTGGTATGACGACCAGAAAAACAGTATTCCTCGTGGAGAGATATTTACATACGCCTAAAAAAATGAAGAAAAAATCAACATTAAGAGTTTCAATTCGTCTTCATTGTATAAAGTGCCTGTAATAGATGAGTTAAAATTAAAATTTATACTTTTATTGTAACACATACAGTATAATGAAAATATCAATATATATTGTTTAATACATAAATTTATTTCGTACTTCGTAATAAATACAGTTTTTTGCATATTCGATTTGCCTGAGGCCACAATAGCCGTATCAGCTTCCAGGGCTAATACGAATCCTGCAGGGCAAATATGGATATGCAGGGTTGATAGGGATATATATTACATCCCTTGTGAATTAAACTTTAAAAAACAGTACTTGTGGTGATACACCTTCTTTTCATTCATATTTTCTGTGAAAATTTAATCTTAAATTACTGTTATTTTATAATTAAGCAAGCAGTAATCATTTAATTGTACTTGCTCAAGCAGATGTATTCTGTATGTTATTACCAAGTATGTAATAAATATAATAATACACACCCTTTTCCATATCACACTCTTTATCAGCCCTCAACCAATATCAGCCCATGGGCTCTCGGTCCTCTTGCTGATATATTTATATATATCCCTAACAAAAAATACCATAGTTAACTATAGTTTACTATAGTTAACTATAGTGATAACTTTGACACTATGAAAACTTTGATTTACTATAGTGATAACTTTGACACTTTGATTTACTATAGTGATAACTTTGACACTTTGATATACTAAAGTGATAACTATGAAAACTTTGATTTACTATAGTGATCACTATGAAAACTTTGAAATTACTATGGTGAAAACTTTGATTTACTATAGTGAAAACCTTGAAAACTTTGATTTTCTATAGTGATAACTATGACACTATAGTGATCACTTTGAAAACTTTGATTTACTATAGTGATCACTTTGACACTTTGATTTACTATAGTTATTAATATAGTATTATAGTATTTTTGTTAGGGTATACTGATATAATTATATTACACATACATGTATAATATCAAATATAACACATCCTGTATCAGCTCTCGATCAATATCAGGCGTTGGGCCTTCGGCCATCTGGCTTAGATTTGTCTCGGGCTGATGCAGGATGTGATATTGAAATGGGTATGTATTACTCTCTCTCTCTCTCTCTCTCTCTTGATCGATGGATGGATGGATGAATGGATAGATGGATAAATAGACACATCTAGAGATAGATTGCATGTGTTTAAAGGTGTATAACTAAATTATGGTGTAGATGTGCTTGTATTTTGTTTAACGTCCCATTCGAGAATTTTTCACTCGTATAGAGACGTAACCATATACCGGTAAAGGGCTTCAAATTTAGACGTTTACTCGGCACTCAGGCCATTGAGCAGTTAGGGTTCTTTATCATTTCAACGCCTACCGTGACACGGGACCTCGGTTTTTAAGGTCTCATCCGAAAGACCCGTTACTTTCACTTCTAATACCGGGATCTTGGCTAAGGAACAATCACTTCCTATGTTTACGTCTTAGGTTTGACGCGGCGAGGCGAACGAGAATCGAACCCGGGCCTACCGATCACGAAGCGAAGCCCTACCACTAGGCTACCGTGACCGGTCGGTGTAGATGTGATGTTGCCATATGCCATCACTGAAACTTCAATGTGCAATAGAATGGAGATGATATTTCATACTTACTGTGTTATTATTTGTAGACTAAATCACAAATAAAGGAGCTGGCAATTGTCAGAGCCACATAAATCCAATTAAGCCCCCCCCCCCCCCCCGTTATGTTTAAAAATTTTCTCCTGAATTGAATCCATTTACTGCCCCGAATAAATCGATCAAGGAAGTAAACATGACGGACAAATTCAACATGTCGGATATCAGGACTAATTATCAAATTATACCTTGCGTGACCACATTGTTTTGTTCAGGTATGAAGTACATTATTA